GGGGGGGCAGGGGGGGTTCAGAAAAGCAGCAGAAAACATTCAGGAGTCAAACACAAAAAAAAACACGTCCAGTAAATGGTCCTCGTTCCACAACAGCTGAGACAGAGGTCAACTCTCCTGAGTGTCGAAGACATGGTCTGGTCATTTGTGCAAAGTAAAACCAAGCGTCGGCCTGCTGAAAAATTCATGAAGCTTCAAGGAAAAGAAACATGGGCCTTAAAACAATAACCTGCCGACGGTGAAAGGTTCTAAAGCTGAGTCTGTTTGGGGAAAATTATGGAAAGTACCATTAACACCTGTTGCCTAGTAACCAGTGCCACATCAGCATTTAACAGGAACTTTGTGAAACGAGGTCTAGCCACGGCCCTCTCTGAGTACTGACACGTTCTACTGCAGTACTTCGAAAACACCTCGACCAAAAAGAGGTATTTTAAGATCTGTATACTCACGTATGTACCAGCTGTAGTACTGTAAGCAGTACGTGTACTGGCGAGTACGAGTACTTTTCAAGCCCTGCTAGGCTAACTCAGCTAACGTCCTGTTGTCGAGGTTTAAAATTGTTGGATTTTTTAAAAATGTTTTAAATAAAAAAGTATTCGGTGTAAAACTGCGTGTTGTATTTTCACAGTCGGCGTCACGGAGGTTAATAAAGGTGGAAATGACATCATAACCAATCACAAGCAGCTTTGCCCTCTAACTGAGAGGAATGATCGCTGCCAGGAAACGCTCCCTAACCCTCTAATGTCTCCTAAGCAACAGAGATCAAGGGCTTCATCCAGGCGAGGCCGCGATCATCGCTCACTGCCAAACCTCCTGCTGGAGGGAGAAATTAGTGGAGAGAGGGGGGGTGAGAGGGGGAGGGCAGGGAGGAGGGGGGCTCTGGTAACTGAGGTCAAATGACCGCCCTGCTCCAAAATGGCCACTAGAGCTAAACGTAGGAAATGTTCAATTAAAAACGCTGAATGATTTTATGTCTATTTAAACCTGAAGGAGTATTCATAAAAACAAGTACTTTTATCAATATTCTTGTACTCGTATCGGTTTGTTTCAAAACGTTACCAGGACGACCCTAACGTTAATTGGACACTTCCTGGTCTTTGAGCTTCTGCCCCAAATACCCCCGGTGTACGAGTGACATTTAAAGACTACCTTAGATCCTTGGCTCTGAGACAGAATTACAAACGGCCTCAGTTTTCCACTCCTTCACTCTTGACCTCCACTGACTCCCTCGTTACTCAGAAAGCCTTCCCCGGCATCTGCACCAGCGCCTCCCCTCGCCGCCACCGCTGAAAAGAGCAAGCATGTCGTGCCAGATGAGTGCGCCTCCCTGTGGGCCGGGATGATGAGACGGTGCATTTACATTAGCCCGGCCGAGCAGCGGCGGTGGAACGCTGCCAGCGGTGGAGACACAGAGCATGACGCCGCAGCATCTGGTGAGTCCTGAGCGAACGCAGGAGCGCCGCGGTCGGCCTTCAGACAGACTCGGTGACGAAGCTCGGGCAGGCGGCCCGACAACCTGGCAGGAAGTCAGATCATAAAGTCAGATAAACAATCATATTCAGGAAGTTAATTAGCCGTTACTGGTTGGGTCGAACCATTTATCAGCCGCAGGGAGAGACGGACTCCTGGACCGTTCTTCACTCGTAACCAGAGAAGCCAGGATTCTGGAATGTTGGTCTGAAAGACATGGAGACATGTTTTTTTTTTTCACGTCCTCAGGGACATCAACATCTGAACTCACACCTCCACACCACTAACCGACAAAGTACCTTTTTTTTTTTTTTGGGCTGCAGCTCGACTGCAATCCAGATGAAAACAGCACATTAAGACAGGACTGTGAATCTCCATTAGCCTGGATGGAGGACAGAGGACGGAGGACGGAGGAGACAAAGGCAACGAGCGCAGCAAGAAAGATGACACCGCACCTGGACCTGGTGCCACGCAGGAATAATGGAACACAGTGGGAAACAGATGGAGCACCGCAGAGCTGCAGCCGGCAGGAGGAGGAAAGGAGCAGAGAACATTCACACCAAACAGCATCCAACGACGTGGTCAGTTCTGCTGGTTCTCTCTGCTCTTCGTCCAGTGACTGAACCTAAACCTGTGAAACATCGACATTCTCAGTCATGGAAACGCCGGCCTTTTACTAAAGAAAACAACGTTAAAGATGATTTTTTTTTTTTTAGAATTACAATTTTGTTGCTTAAACTTCCTTTTTATTCTCTATTATAAAGTAGCTTCTGTCCGCTCCCTGGCTCAGCTGCAGTTCAACAGATTAAATATTAAAGCCAATATTTAAGGTTCGCTGCTTGATTAACACTTCCATAATCACCCTTCAGTGTGATGTATATTTGGTCATTTACAGAGGGACGGCGCTCCACCGTTCTCTGCTCTTCTGCAGTTTTCCTCTTTGTGTAGATTGTGTAGTGTTGCGCCCCCTATGTCTACACATCTGAAACGGTAAATAAATAATAATTTCCTGAGGAATGGTGTGAAACTAGAATCTAGAAACATCATAAATGACCGAGTATAATGAAATATTTTCATGTTCCAGGTAAGATGAGTGTACTTTAGGGGAAAATACTAGTACTACTGCAGTAAATGTCCCTGCAGGAAACAGAATAAAAAAGGAAACCAATCATTTCTGTTTCTTTCTCGTGCTGCACTTAGACTAAATGGAAGATGGCTGATGAGTCAGACCCATCAGACTCCCCTCCTCCTCCCTCCTCCTCCTCACCCATCTGACCAGGTCAGAGTCTGAGCCTACAGAAAAACAGGACACAGCCAGGACCACACACACTGGTCTCCCTCCCTCTCCCTCTCTACCCCTCTCCTCTCGTGGCCCAGTCAGCCCTGAAACTAGATTCCCTCTTCCATCATGCCTGAGGGAACAGTTTAATTAAAGGCCAGAACAGCCATCAGCCCATTCTTGACTTGTCTACAGTCAACAAATAAATCCCCCGCGTGGACAAAGACCAGGTCCTGATACACTGACACTCAATACACACCCTGTGTTTGTATTTACTGTGAGATTCAACTGGGCAGATTCATCTGATGCTGACTGACATCATTTAACTGGACTGAAGCTCCGCCTGCTCCACCGGCCATAAAATGCTAATAAAATCCAGCTGTTTACCCATAATGCCCCATTAACTGTTACTGTCATGTTAACAATGTATTTGCCCCCCTGTCTGCCCCCCCTCCCTCCACCCTATTCCTGGGGAAGTTATGGGCTCACTTTCTAAGTTAATGACTGTCGGTGTCACCGAGTGCTCCTGGTCCACGGAGAGTTAGCCACGGTGATTTATCTGGACCAGAGGTGATTCAGTCAGATGAAAATGTTTTACGGTCTGTGGAGTCACAGCCTGAGACAGAGACGGACGCTCTGCTGTCGCTCATTATCTTCAAATATCTGTCTCTCCAGCCCAGAGCACAAACCAGACATTGTTATACAGTAGCGGTTCCCAAAGTAGGGGGCGGGCCCTCCTGGGGGTGCACAGCCACGTACTGAATGTCGGGTTGTTCTGATCCAGTCATCGCCCTGACTTCACCCTAAACTTTTATTTCTGTTCAGTATTTGCCACAAACGATGAAAAACACAAGATGGAAACGGCAAAAATGGAGATGTGAAGTCATACAGTTAAAGATCAGACACTGATTTTAAAGCAAGACTGAACAAATAACCATTTTGATCTGGATTAAAATGTATTTCCTGTTCCTTTGAGAACACGTTCCACCTTTTGTTTTTCATCTGCGGCAAAAGAAAAGAAAAAAACCCAACTTCCAAGTATCTGGTCGCTCTAACTGTTTGCTAAATGATTAGAAGTCAGACATCAAATATACATGAGTTGTGATAAGTGGGTTAATGCATAATGCAAAGTGACTCTGGTTCCCTGGATCCTCCTCCTCCTTCAGGCCTCTGGTGAAAACAAGCTGCTATTTTGGTGGTGGGAAACTGGAGGGAAATATTATTCACTGACACTTTTGTGCAGAGAGCGCTCATAATTAAAGCACCTCGTGATTCCATCTCCAGCCTCCTGTATGTGCTGTTGTTCATTCACCCTAAACAGGGACGTTCAGTCTGCAGTGAAACAGGACTCCACATCGTTTGTCACCGGACCCCGGGGTAATGGAGAGAGCGAATTAGCTGTACTCACTAATTATGGAGAGGACAAAGAGCCAGTCACAGTCTCTTGTCAAGGTCCCACTCCTGCAGCGCCGAGGTGGTGGGAGGGGGGGCAGCACTGGCTCATAAATCTGAGGGGGGGGGGGGACACAGATATGTAGCAGGTTAGAGAGAGAAGATAAAGAGGAGAAACTCCAGACAATCAAACGTGTGACGATCGACCACGGGCAGTAAGTAGGCCCCCGACCCTCCCGTGTCATACGGGCGTCAGAAACATTTGCCCATCAGCGCCCTCCGGTGTCCATCGCCGCCGCCGGTCCTTGACGGTTGGCTTCTGAACACTGAGGGCGACGTCGCTTTAGCGTTGGCAGATTATATTCACATGGAGTCACATGACCCCGGGGACCGTCACCGAGATGTCATGTTGAACACCGACGACTGCGTACAGCTGAGCTGGCACGGTCGGATTACGGCGCCACGGGTTTACCACCGTTTACTAAAAGGACTCTCGCTCTGCTTCAGACGTCGTTCACAGCCTTCCCTTTGATTCCCTCGGGTTTTCCAGCTGTCGCTCTGACAGAATTACAGACGTTTGACAGGAGAAAAAAAGGAGGGAAAAAAAAAACCAGAGTTACAGCAGCTTATTCACAGCCGTGTTTCTCAACCGTAGGAAACATAAACACAGGCGGTAAAATATTTGACAGAGGAGGATGTCATAACAAGACTGCAGTAAAAAGACTGTTGTAGGTGAAAAAAAAAAACTTCTGTTCATTGAAAACTAAAAACAAAAGATTCTAGGATTAATCAAACTGACTAAATGGAAAAAGGATTTTAAAATTTCCTAAATATTCTCATCAAAGCTCAGACGTCCACAGCTCTGAACACGATACAGACGCTTTTATTGGACTTTTCTGCAGTGATGCTGCTGCTGCTGCTGTTATTATTGCTGCTGCTGCTCAGCCTCACGGCCGTGTGCTGTGTTATCTCACATTGTTCCCGGTGACTCTGATGCTGACAGTGATGTGGATTATTGCTTTTAGGAAGTCTCTCTTGCGTCCCCCAGGAGGACTCAGAATATATTTTTTTTGTCATAAGCAGATTAAAGAAAATCACTGTAAAAAAACGAGGATTAAACCTGCGGCAGCTTCACTTCAGACGTGACGTTTTCCTTTTCATCTCATGACTCTTTCCATTGTACTGCGTGTTGTTACCCAGTTTGACGTAGTGACAAATACTGGAGGCGATCGATCGAGAAAATGTGTTTTGATTGAGGTTTAATCTCCTTTTAAAGAAGAATTAACAAAATGAAGACGACGGCGCTGCGGCGCCTCCTCCTGCGTTTTCCTCTAAATGGGATTGTGATTGACATCTGCAAACGTTCAAACGTCATTACTGTAGAAAATATTTACAGCTGTCACAAACTGACAAACGACTTCAGACATTTATCAACAGAAAGAAAACCAGAGAGACGCAGAGTCAAGTTTGACTGACAGAACAACCAGGCCAAGGTCGTCCCACCAGGCCAAGGTCGTCCAACCAGGCCAAGGTCGTGCAGGTTCAGAGCCACGATGGTGAAGGATGTTCTGCATGTCCTTGTAGAAAAGCCACATGAGAACTCCATATTAAAAGACCATTAATTAATTAATTACTTGATTACCCCCCGAGTGACGTTCTGACTTTAAGACGGAAGTCATAACCACTGTCCCACCGTGTGGCCCAGCTCCAGCTCCAGCTCCAGTGATTATTCTACTTTTGCTGCGTCACCGTCTGCAGCAGAATTGTGTCATTTCCACATCATTTAAAAGGGTGAGATAACGCCCTCCCCCAACAAAAGCCCCAGTATCTCCCCCCTGTTACTGCACCGTGTTCAACAATGAGGAATTATCATCTGGTAATTAAAACACATTCATATCAACCACGGCAAGGAATGAGTCTGAGGCCGAGGACACGGAGGACGGAGTCTGAAGGAGACTGAAGTTACTGGTTCAAACCAATTCAAGGGGTCGGTTTAGTGAGGTCAAAGGTCATGTGAATGAGATTAGACGCAGTGTTAGAGATTAAAGAAAAGTTTTGTTGATGAAATGAAAAATAAAATAAAATTAATAACTCAATCATATTAAAAGTTTTGTGTAATTTAGATTAAAATCATGTTAATGAGATTAATGAGAGTCAGATTAATTAGACACATGAATCACATCATCCCAATCACATTAATTAGGTTGTGTTCGTGAAGAATATTTTTGACATTTTCATCATGAATGAATAAAAAACCTCCATATTATATATCATTAATATCATTAATCATTTTCTTGAATAATGAAAATGAAAATGTAAATCCCCAACAGTTACAGACGGAACCGATGGTTCCATGGTTTCCTCCTACAGTCACCATCCTACAGCCTCCTCTTCCACTGGTTCCTCTCCATTTTGCGGTGGTTTTTAACCCTATCATCATTCTCACTCCCAGCTCTGGGCCAGTGCATAGACACCAGTTAATAATCTGAGGGACGAGTCCTGGAACAAGAGCCCGAGGCGCCCAGGTTTATTTTGAGTTCATCCTGGAGTAAATGGAGCTGACCTTCACTCTGAGGGCTGCGCTCCAGCTTACGGAGGAAACTGCCAGAGGAACTCCATCACTGTCTTGTTAAAAACATCACTCCTGCAGCAGCAGGTTTTGTTTTGTTTTTTTTTCTCCTCCAGGTGAGAATTATTCAATTTATTCCTGCGTCGTTTGGAAATAAAACAAACTCTGAAAGAGAGGTCGTCAAATTTACACAACGTAGAAAAGGTTTATATTTGAGGCCATGTTTCAAACAGTAGAACTGTAGAAGGTGTCGGTTAAATTCCAGGCTGCTCCAGATAAGGCCCTGATACACCTCCCTTCAGTAGACTAATGCCCCCTGAGGGGACCTACCCCTCTGGTAGAAACAGACAGAACTTTTCCACTGCACGACATCAGGTACAGGACACAGAAGGTAAAGCTGATCTAAAAGTCTGAGCCTCTCCACAAACGAAACACGCTGCATTTATTCATGTTTTTCTCCAACAGGATGTTGATGTTGATGTTGACGTCACGGCCCAAAAACGGAGATCAATTTAAATCTAATATCATGGTAACGACTGCACCGGGGCTGAGTGGAGGAGCCGTTGGTAAAATGTCAAATCTTTTAATCTGATCCCAAACTCAGACAAAAACAATTGAATTGTTGACACCGGAGTATGGTTGACAGGAAGTAGAGGTGTGAGAAAGTATCGTAGTATTTCGTATCAATATTCTACAGCAGAAACAAAGGTGTTAAAAGTGAAGCCGAGTCACTGATACAGTAGACGTTCTGATGCATAAAACAACAGTCTTTCCATTATTACAGCTGTAAAACACCAGCGGCCGCAGATTGATGTGTTTTCAAAGACAAACAAAGGAGTTCAGATGTTCCCTGCTGTAAAGTTGAAAGGCTTCGGGGGAAAAAAACTCTGACATCCAGACAGGTCGACGAAGACCGGCTCTGAGGCAGCGGTGGAAAAATAACGGAGCGGGCATTTTATTTTTGGTTTTTACCAGACACTAGAAAACCTTCCAGGTTTGTTCAGTGAAGCTGGCACCATACTGTGATCAAACTGTGGTGCTGTGAGCAGTGGGCGTGTCCATAAGAACGCCACAGGGACTGAGACGGGCGCCGTCAGAACTCCAGCAGTTTTTACAGTCAAAGTGATTTAAATTAAATAATCCATGAACTTCTCTATGGAGGAAATGACTTTCGCAAATCAATGACGTTGATAATAAAGTTATCTTTACGAGATAAAAAAGTCTCGTAAATGACATTAAAATATAAGATGGGTCACAAATGAATCATGTTTATACGACAGAGAGGAAAAACGGTGTTAATTATGTTAATTTATGCTACTGAGATTCACAGACATCTTCCTTTAATTTAATTAAACTTAAGCTACAAAAAAAGGTTGTTTTGTTATTGGAAAAAAGAAACCATGTTCATAAAATGTAACTAACAGCTTTAGTCAATCTAAACAAACTGTGTTAATTAGATTTAATTAAATAGATTAAAGTCTGTGCTAATGACAAACAGTTGAACAGTGACCAGTGAGACGGAGCTGTCCGTGGTGCTGTCCATGGTGCTGTCCCTGGTGCTGTCCGTGGTGCTGAGGGTGGTGCTGTCCATGGTGCTGTCAGTGGTGCTATCCGTGGTGCTGTCCGTGGTGCTGTCCATGGAGCTGTCCGTGGTGCTGATTCTCACCCTCAGATTTCATGGATCCTCCACACACACAGTATTTGCTGGTACTTGCCCAGGCTGTGTTAACATGTACCCGGAGTGGATTTACTGTGGAATCTTCCAGAAGCAGCGCTTCATAAGGCGTCGTTAACGTGAGGTAGTTATAAAGGACAGGCCCATCCATCAGTTCTAATCTAGCTCATATTTAACACAGCCGACACGTCACTGTACCGCCGAGTAATCCGAGCACAGATTCCCATCAAATGCGGCTCCGCGGGAAATAACCATTAAACAAAACGGCCTTATCGCCCCGCAGCAGCGGGTACGGCCTCTTTAATTAAACGGCCCTCGACTCCTCCAGCACCTGTGGACTCATCGAAGTCGATGGGCTTTAAGACCCGGCAGAGACACAGTCAACAGTCAACATCTGTCGCCCTGCTCTCCACTGTATGAATTGCGCCTGCTCTCCGGGCTGGAGACACTCGGGCAGCGGCAGGGGGGGCCGCCCCACGGCAGGGGGCGGGGGGGGGGGGGAAAGCCGG